GCCTCGATTGAAGCACTCCTGAAGCTCACTTGAAGATTTTCCAAGAATTCTGCATTATTAGATTCTCTTTAAGTCAAATTTCCAATTAAAGTTATTGGTCGTTGAGTCACACAGGCAAATGCAAGGGATAAAAAGGCTATTCACCATTGAAAATAAAGTCATAAAAGCACGAAAGTTCCATTGCTGATACTGTTAGTGAAATTAGAATTAATATGTATATATAAGATCCAAAGAAGCGAAATTACTTTGAACATCTACGAACAACCATGTTGGCAACAGAAGAGAGCTCTGGTATCCAATCCCCCCGGCAGAAGGTGACGTTTCAATCTCCTCAAAATCTAGATCAAAAGAACTTCGCTTACCAAGCAACCATTTAAATGATCCATCTCTTATCAGGCCTTCTAGCATATTTCTGGCTTTACTTGCTGCAGCCATCTCTTTTGCCTCCCAGATTTTACAGAGTCTTTATTGAGTCGACGAAGAAATATAGTATCCGATTGTTATTACAGTTCTTGCATTTACTGAAATGCAAATATTGCCAAAACAGTCAAGATGAAATCTCAAAACTGACACATCAAGTAGTAAACTACTAATCATAATAGACTCAAACACGCTAAATCCAGCTTTTAATTTCAGAAAAAAGCTACAATTTCGGGAACTTTTGCTTTTAAAAAAATCGGGAACTTTTACAAGAGCCGTAAAGTATTGCTCGCAAGATAAGATTTAGTTCACCGTTGAGTTGACAAACACTTAAACGTACGAGGAACACATGCAGAGTATAACCACCGGCATTGCTCAGCGTTAAGAATCTTTGCATATTCAAACTCAAGTATGAACTTGCATAAACGCGTTAGATACTCATCGAAATCTCAAGCAATCAAAATAAAATTTTGAAACAAAGAACCATTACCAGTAAAAGCCTGCCCCAAAAAGCTGTACCAAGGACAACCAAAACGACTCACCTCAAAACGCAATGTGATGCAGCAACATAAAGAACCTCAGCTTAAGCAAAGAAAACAACTGGCACTCCAGTAAATTTACAAGAAATCGACCATCGATCTTAGAGACGACAAGTAATGCGAACAAATCACCCATTTTGACAAGTTGCGGTATTGTTCATAGGATCACATTCATGAACAAACTTGGGGCAGAAGGAAGCAGAACCTTGGGGGAACTCGGTGCGAGACATGTAAGATTCTATCTTGAATGGGGGTTTGTGGAAACCACGGGGATAAGAATAAATGGCAAGAAAAATGAGACAAACAGTGATCAACTTCTTTCTCAAGGCTGATGCATTGGCTGGCGCACCAGAACTCCTGAAGGGAGGCAAGCAGGACTCAGGAGCCACCAACGGATTTGTTTATTGGCCGAAACCCCCACCGATTCGATGAAAGGCATCTCAGTGGTTCACGCGTGTAAATGATCCTTTTCTTTTCTCTTCTGGTGAAAAAAAATGATTCCTTTCTTCACAAATGAGTTACGTTCCCGTCAAATGACTGTGCAAATGTCATCTACTGTGAGGGAAAAGGTTGATGCTTCTGTTTATTTTGAAGGAAGTTTTCCGTTGTTATTAAAAGGATAAAAAAAGATTATCCCTCACATGGGCCCTTTGCCCTCAGTGGCCCAAGAATTTGGGCTGACACTGTTGGACCTGCCAAAGCCACCGTTGGGCTCCATAAAAATGGCCCAAGTTTCCTAAGCATTTTCACTTCTATTTCATTTTGTTATTTTTCGTGATTGTATATTTTTCTTCAAATAGAGTTGCCTCCCATTGGAGGCCTAACAAAAAGAAAAGGTTAGAGACGAAAGCAAGAGGGGTAAAACAACCAAACCTACAAAAATCACTTATCATTACTAAAGTTGTTTATTAGGGTTTTATAAATGAAATAGCGGATGAAAGTATGATACGGTGGGAACATGCTCCATAAATAAATACTAATGGTCCATTGAAAAACTAAATATATTCATTCATCATAACATATTGATCGCCAAATTGTCCATTCATCATAACATATTCATTAAGTAAATCCTATAATTTATTAATGATTATACATAAGAATAATGCGTATATTATACCAAAATATAGAAATAACAAATATTTTAAAGATTATTTTTTAACGGAAAATAATTTTCTACTTGTTTTCTTTTTGGCTAGTTCTGTAAAATTCTCAACTGTTTATAACACCGATTCACCTGTTTTGACCGGTTTGGTTGAATTCTCATGTCATCAATATCAGGTCAATTTTACAGGGTCTTTTTTTTTTGTACTTCTATTGAAGTCTGAGATTCTTTCATGAAAACTTTGTTCGTATATATTTCAAAATTATATGAGAAGTATGTATGTATAACTTATAGACAATTGCTGTATTTATAAGTTATGAAAAGTATGATTCTTTTTCAAAAACTTTATTTAACAAAGAAGCATGCACTTAGTTTTATCTAAAGTCAAAATTTGCATAATAACCGATGATTATTTAACATGATTTTCAATTCATATCTACCCCAATTTCACTTTCAGATTAAAATTGTTAACTTGGAAGCAATATAATGAGAATTACCATGACTATACAAACCAAATTAAATGGACTAGAGGCAGAAATTACTGTTGTATGAGTTAATTATTAGCCTATATAAATCCAACAAGCAATGGCCAACTCAGAGTCACTCAACTCCAATGTGGACTGCCATCTTTGGTGCAAGAGCTGTCCTGTTAAGTAAACATCAATTGACCACAATAGTGGAAAGTGATCATGCTCCCTTTAAAGAGATAACAACAAAATAAAGCTAGTCTATTAGCCGGCTTTGTTTTGATTTGAATCTCCAAGTCTGAGACCAAACAAGCACATACACATAATTTTGCTCCCGTTTTGGCTGTTTTAGTGGGCATATGATATCAGCTAGCTACCTGAACAGCTAACAACTTCCACTTTCACTTCACAATCTTCATACATGGATATATATATAGTGACCCCTCCTAGGTCCATGAACTTGCCCATCTTTATTACTTCTCTCTCCAATTCCAACTACTTCCTTTTAATACTTGTCCCAACATTTAAATCCATATTCATCTACATACATAAAAGTGTATCTTGCCATATTTATATATCTATTCTTTAGATAATTAAAGGTATACCATCACCGTCTTAATTGGTTCAAGACCCCTTGAATCTGAACTGAATTTTCCATATTATATTGATGTATATGCCCCAATCCTAGTTTATAATGGTCCTCTTTCTTTTCTCTGTTTTTTCCCCCCAAATATGCTATATGTATTTGTTTTTGTAAATATAAAGGATAGATATTGCTTTGAATCGGCATTCTAAGTCACTCCCTCCAGTCCTTTTTGTAATGCCTTGTTAACTACTTTCATGAGTTTAGAAAGTTAGTTAAAATTAGTTAAATGCTAACATTTTAACAACCCAAGAAAATTACCTTTAATTGGTGGTATAGTTAATATAGAGAGAAAGAAGAGTTAAATGCTAACATCTTTACAGACCAAGAAAATTACCTTTAATTGGTGGTATAGTTAGTTGAGAGAGAAGAAGAGGATGAAAAAACTGTTATTTAAGTCAAGAGAAAAGAAACAAAGGCGTTTTTCTGAGTCAGTCACAATTCATTAGACTTTGTAAAAGGGTTTTATAAAAAGAACCAATAGGCAGGGTCTGATAAATAGGCTGGAGGAGCATTGTTCATGCACTTAGGTGAGAGGGGAAGACAAGAGGATGGTCAAAAGTGGGGCAGACAAGAAAGATTGAGAAGGAGAGAGGGCAGCAAAAGTGTGGGTAGAAAAGGTTCACAAGAAGTGATCATATATATTTGAGAAGTTGGAGAAGCTACAATGCCCATCCTCTTTTGAGCATGCTGTGGCCCATTCGAGCTGTCCTCTTCTCGTCCCGGTTTCATGGATACAATGAATCTAATCCACCTTCCTTTGTCACTAAAGAAAGACAACATATATGTTATTATGGTATTCCTAATGTTCTCTCTCTCTCTCTCTTTTAATTCTCCTCTTCAATCATTCACTTAATGATGTGGCCACATCCATAAGATTTCATCAGTTCCTTTCTTCAAGTGGATGCCCTAGACTGTTCCTTCATTTGCATCTGCCCAGTTTTCTGATTTCCCTTTCTGCGCTAAAACCTTCTCTTTTAACTCTCAAAAGGGAATGGAATATCTTACCAAAAAAAAGGGAATAGAATATATATGCACAGTATAATTATCTGATGTGAAAGTGCCATCAACTAATATAAGTTCAAATGTATAATGTCAGACTCAAATAGGGTAATTGATCCAGTGATTTTTTTTTTTTTTCATTTTATAAAGTTCAGTCTTTTCACCTCTCTTGTTTGAGGAGTATTGGATCCCATTTACTTAATCCGACCACCGTTGATAGAATACGTGTGTGTGTGTGTGTTTTTTTTTTTTTTACTGACAAGAGGGATCTTCATGCAACTTGTTGTCGCTTAGGTCCTACAATACATGGACCTCCTGGCTGGTCCATTGGTGGCAGCAGATTAGTGTGGTTACATGTGAAGAACTTGGGGGAACAAAGACAATTACTTTAGAAGGGTTTTCTAGGTAGTTTTCTTTACCAATACTTTTGCAGGCAAACGTTGCTTCAATTTTTATTATATTTAATGGCAAATGAAAATTAGGCATGAGGTAAAAATCGCTAATCTTGTTAAATCCAATCCTCGTTAAAGTGACGTCAAAAGTCAATAATACATGAAGTTCTTGTTGAATTATTTCTTTCAACTCAAATTATAGAATGCGTTCCTTCTTTTCCCATGAAGAATGACCGCATCACGATAGCAGCTGCACTCTCATTGCATAGTTAAACTTTACAACAAAGTGATGAGTTGAAGTCTCCCAAGTAAAATGTGTGATCTTTTTAAAATATGAGTTATGTAATGTCCGATCACGGTAGGAATTATAGTCATGTTAGCTTTTTCTTTTTTCTTTTTTTTAACCTTATTAACAAGAGAACTTGCATATTAATGATCCATATATTTATCCACTTATTTGAAGGATTGTACACAAATACATGAAAATCTAAGCTTTTATATAAGCTTGCGACATTTGAGAGGGACTTTACAAGCAAGAATGTCCACATTCAGCTACAGCATGGTGTGGAAACAAATGGATGCTTTCATTTGAAAAGAAAAGGACAAGTTATGGAGCGTCCTCTTAATCTATTAATAATTTTCCGTGGTTGATGAGACAGAATCATAGAACTCCCCAAAACTGAAACTAGAGAGGCCAAGTTGGATGAAAGCAAGAAACCCCTCCGCCATATCCTTCTTCACTATCATTTCTTGAGGATAATCCTTTTGCCTTGAATGCCCTTGCTCTCTGACCCAAATCAAATCAATAATTCAGTACATGATAATTCTGCTATTATCATCAAATAGTGATACAAGTCTAAAACAAACATATATATAAATATATATATATATATATATATATGTATTCCCTTCAGTGAAATTCAAACCTGCATTGCTTCTATAGCGTCTGTCTCTGAATTGAAATCGTAGAAGGTGCTTGCCGCAGTCAGCTTCATAGATAGAAACTGCAGATATAACCAAACTTCAATTTAATGTTCTTGATTTGAAAGATATACTTCTTTTCAACTTTTGATTGCTTACCTCCACCTGATGCTGCAAGGACTGGACATAGTTTATAATCTCGTCCAACATCACCGCCATACCCATGGTCTGAAAAATTTTTATTCATAAATTTTGTATCACGGACGCAAATAAATTGAGCTTACAGAATATGTGTTTGTGTGTGTGTGTGTTTTGTTTTCTTTTACCTTGTAGCATCCTGGGACAATGGTCTGCAAGCGTCTTATTTTTTCGTTGATTTTCCCCCTTCTGACCTGAACATATAAAGATTAATGATTACAATATATGAATCAAACTCGCATTCTTTTCAGACTAAGAGGCAAGAAACATATTTTTATAAGTTTAATATAGGAACTATACCCTTTCTGCTAAACTGTGACTGTCTGTAGCTTGACCTCTTCTGGCCCTGACATGAACCACTTCCTTTGGTTTACCTTCTTCTGCTACATTGCTCTTTGTTCTCTTACCTCTTCCAGAACTCTGAAAACATAACCAACAAAAAATCCGTCAGTTTCTGTCTAGCATATAAAGTTGAACAAGAAGATGAACATTAACATACACTAACGACCTTGCTTCCACTCTCAGAAACTGCAGGAGTTGGACTTACAGAACTGGTTTCCGTAACATCCATCGCTTTCCTCTTTTGACTATCCTGGATTTCATTTTCTGCCGGTAAAACGGGGAAATTTTCTGGAAAATCAGGTTCTTGAGAGAAGGGAATCAAGCTCTGGACATTGAGATTAGAGTTGTCCAGGACAAGGGGGCTCATCATGCCTGTGAACTGGTTTATAAGTTCCAAGTTTGGATCAACGTCTAAGAAAGGAAAGGAGGGTCTAAAACTTTGAAAATCTGTTGTGAATTCAGCCATGTGAGTTGAGGTTGCAGTGTTTGTGAGATGCTTAGATGGCAGAGGGTGATGGGAACGAGAGTGGTATTTATATAGCAGGATTGAAGGCACGTTTGATGAATGAAAAGGAGAAGCATGGTGAGGTGGCAAGCTTCTGCATTTGTGTTCCCTGGTTGGGTCCCACTCACAGTACAAAGGGGAATATGTCCAATGACAATAAGGACTTCAGGTTTTGGGAGAAAAAGCACTTATGATTTTCGGACTCTTTCAAATTCTGGGTCCCTTTCGTTACCTTGCGTCTAATATTTCTTTTTTCACTGTATAAAAATACATTTGGTTGAAGGCACAGCCTGGCTGGAAATTCTTGTCAAGTATAAATATTTATGTGTTCTCTTTTCATTTTCATTAAGTTGTGTCATATAAATGAGTATTTAGGAAAGGACCATTAAACTATGTAACTCTTTCTCTTTGTTATGATTATAAATGAGCTATAACTTAGTTTTGCTCTCAACAAAGGTTACTCCATGTCTCTTTTAGTTTTGCTCTCAACAAAGGTTACCCCCTCTCCCTCACAGAGAGAGAGAGAGAGAGAGATGGAGATAATTTTTTAACTGTTTGATCTACGCTTTAACCAAAACGTAAGGCTTGAATCCAAACTAAACAAGATAAGATTTAAGTAATCTAAATAGAATCCAACTAAATGGCCACTCATTATGGGCACCACTAAAAAACATCAGTATACTAGGTTAGGTTCAAGTAATCCAGCCTTTAGGAATTGCGAAAGATTAAGCTGGAAGCGCATAATGATTCTCATTATCATTTAGTGTCCAAATGAAATAATTGGAGGCATTGCTGCAGAAATGAGTCGTACATGAACAGTCATTATTGTCGCAGTGTTGAATATCACAAACCATAAGAAGGCCTACAAGAAAAGGCATTTCAAGTTTGAAAACACAGTTTGAAGAAGAGAGTCAGGAGGAGTTGTTGGGTTAGCAAGTTGGGGGATTTTCAAACTCTACTGTTTGGCCACGCACTTTGACAAGAATTTGTTTGCTGAGTTTGGATTATGATTTGGACTGTTATTTGAGAAAATGAATGCACCAAACTCACATGTGCACTGTGCGTTTGGCATATGACAGTTCATTCACTTTTCTCAAAGCTCTTCATGCCAATTCTGACAATCTATAATACTCTACAGCCAAACACAAACTTACTCCCTTCCCTTTCAAATTTCCTCTCTCCTCTTTATTCTTCACACTAGGCTTCTCCTCCCTTCCCTATAACTCTTCCTTGCACCATTTTTTTTTCCTTACAAGAAAAATCACATTTCCCTCCTCCACCCTTTTTAATGGACTCCTCCGATCTTTAATATAAAACCTATTTAACTAACTTGATTAGATCAAAGAAGTTAAGTAAATTAGTTAATTATAAGAAATATGACATGTTTTTTTTCCTAAAATATCATAATCATCTTTCTTAATATCCTCCCTCCCTCACTTGCTTGATCATAATTAAGAAAGTATCTATAAGGAAAATTTTTTAAAAAAATTGATAAATATGACAAATAGGTCTTGTATTTATGACCAAAATTAACTTAACAATTAGGTCCTATATTAAGAACCGGAGGAGTAACAGTTATTTAATTAATTTGAATAGATTAAAAAAATAAATTACTTAATTCTAACAACTATGATAATCTCCTTAAAATATTCTTATGTAACATCTAGTCCTAAATATAGGAATTAGATGAGAGGTTCACTTTGGTTCTAACTATAAAACATCAATCTACCTTACCTTTCAAATTTATAATTTTTTAACTCAAAGTATCCCAATTGATTACACATAGTAAGAAGTTGATAATGAAAAAGGTAGTTTCAATACATATGATTAAATATACTAGTTTAAGAAAACCAAAACATATTTGCTATAAATAACTAACTTAACTGATTTTGTTCATATTTACAAATGAGTTATCTAACTCTTATATCAAGTATCAAATATAGTATTATATATCAATTTATAAGTTAGATAAATTAATTTGAAAAAAATGAGAAATATGAGAAATATATTTGACTAAAATATTACACTTATGAGCAAAATCAACTTTCTAACTAACTCTATTCTTAGGATAAGAAAAGTATTTTATCTTCTTTTTCACCTTACCCGATTTCATGATCTCTCTTTTATGTATTCCCTTATCCATTGATCTCACGATTTTCAATGAGAAGAGCAAGCAAAAGGGCAATTTCTCTTGGCGTGTAGGATAGCCCTTGCCCAAAGTGGGTATGATCTACACTTTGTTAGGAGGCATAATATTAATGACGGCTCAATTGGAAATAAAACAGTTAAATTCCGGGGCAAACTTCAAAATATCACTGTGCCAAACAAAATTTATTCAAAATAGCACTAACTTTCACAAACCCTAGCTAGTAGCTACCTATAATTCCTAATTGTTGACATCTGAATTCCTGCACAATCTTTTTTTGGTTTTTGGCACATACATTTATTTTTCTCATGTTATAAACGTGCGGTAACTCAGAAAATCGCATATCAATTTAGAAATTATACCATTACAAAAACAAATACATGTATTGGAGACCGTGCGTATAAAAGAAAACTTAAATTTTGCATAGTACCTTTTTATATGCACAGATGCCCTCTTTTTAGAGGCAGTTTTGTGTGAGGCATTATCAGACGTGATTTAAAACGATTTATTAAAATTAATACATTAAAAAATAAAATACAAACAACCTAAAGATGATTATCCGCTAAGCTGTATTTGATTACCCAATAACCAAATCAAGACAGAACAGTTTTATATTTAATTAATGCAGTCATAATTAAACATTGGACTTTTTATGCCCATGTCCTATGAGAGCCGAGCCAAGACCTGCGACTAGGTTTGGTAATTAACTTTAAAAGGGGACAATCGAAGGATAAATAATGATTGTAATAAATGGCATAAAAATAGTATGGCCACAAAACTTTCCTTTTACTTGTTAAATTAAAGTGAGAAAGAAAATTTGAATTTTTCATTTTTTGTAGCTTTATAAATGATAAAAGCCAAAACAGTACCATCATATTGCCTCATATAAGCTATTTACGCGGATACATTGGAATTGCCTTCTCCTAGTCTGAACCTGACACTTATATACACACGTGCAACCTAACTTCATCCACTTAATTCAACTTATATGACTCAATTTTTTCATCATATGCTGAGAGTGAAAATTAGGGGAAAGATTATTTTATAAATCCCAGGTAAGAAATTTATATAATAAATATGTCTGAGTTTCATTTAATACTAATAAGTGCTTTTTAAACGCAACTCTAAATAAGCTTTAAGTTACAGAACGGACAGGGGAAATGACATTTGCAAGCATTAATGATTGGGCTCGAATACATAGTTGTCAGTGTCCAAACTAATAGGCCCAGTCCATCTATTTCACGGGTCGAAAACTAGTCCAGTTTCGGACTCAGTTTAGTTCCCCGGCTATACATATGTGAACTCACGCCTGTGATTTAATCATATGCTCATGAAGAGTAATGAAATATAAAATAAAATTAAATACCACATCCGGTCCTTAATATAAGACCCCATTTGAATTTTATTTTGGTCTTAAATATAAGACTCCAATCCACTTTGTCTCTCATATTTACTCAATTTTTTAAGATAATCCTTCTAATAATTATAGTTCTAGTTAATACACTTGATTAGCAAGAATATTTTAGAAAAGACAATACCTATTTAGGACAAATAACTAACTTAACTTACTTTCTTAATCTCTTCAAATTAGTCAACTGGCTCTTATAATTAGGACCAAATGTAGTAATTTAGAATGTAAAATAACTTTTTTTTTTTTTACTTTAGAAAATTGAATAATAAAATACTGGATAATAATTTTAGCAGTATAGCGGAAGATAGTTTGCTCTATCAAACGAAGCAAATTTTGTACCGCGCAAACGAATTGAGATCGACAACATTTCATTTTGGGCAAATTAACGCGGGCCCTTCCATTTAGTTTGATTCATTTCATCGGTAGAACAGAACCAAAAAACCGGCACTTTAATCAACTTGAGGGGACGTTTATTAAAAAATAAATAACAACAGAAAAATAAATTTTTATTGTAAGAAATAAGATTAAAAATTCTAATTCATTCTAATTTTAAAAATATTCTGTTTAAAATATTCTGTAAAGGTAGTGTTTATGTAATTAGAATTTTTATTCTTATTTCTTACAATAAAAATTTATTTTTCTGTGAAGAATCAAAGAAATAAACATATTTAATCTTTTACAGAATATTTTTAAAATTAATTTTTTCCCTCAGATTAAGTTAAATTCATACAGCGGAAATTTTTATTTTCACAGCATAAAAAAAACATGCTAATTATCTGTTCACAGCCATGGAAGGGAGGGTTCAAATGAACGAAGAATTTAGTAAAGTTCACATTAAAAAGCAGATGCCGTTTTAGTTTCGGAGGGAATGAGTGATTTAGAGGGACAGAGCAGTAGAACAACATAATATATATTGTATCTTATCACAAATATAAAACCCATTTTATATTTATAATGTAATTTAAATTATAAAATAGATGTTATATTTAAAATCAGAAATGTACATGTATACACACACAGGAGTCAATTTCGAGAATCCATGACAGCTAACAAGATCACGTCTCACACTGTTTTAATCATTTAAGGAAGAAACTCTTGACAAATCAAACCATCAATATCTATATATCTATATATTTCCCCCAACTAACTAAAAACAATATGCAGATATTAACAATACTCACCATATAATAGCCTTATAATCTCCTTGGAACTATACGCACGCCCAGCTGCAGTTTCGTTGTGTATCTTGACATCGAAGTTGATGGAGTTATCGTTACGTGGATAGTAATCCGTCCACGCATGAGTTGGTGCCGATAATTGCGGCTTCATTTGGTTATCAAACACACACTACCTTTGATTCTTCACATAAGAGGATGAATTTAATCTTAAATATAAAACTTTAATAAT